GCAATAAAAGAACCCTAAAAGAAAAGCAGCGAAAATGCCGGAGCTACCGGAGGTGGAGGCGGCCAGGAGAGCGATAGAGGAGAATTGCTTGGGGAAGAAGATAACGAGAGCGATAATAGCGAACGACTCCAAAGTGATTGATGGCGTGTCAGCATCTGATTTCGAGTCCTCGATTTTGGGAAAGACAATCGTCTCTGCCAACCGCAAGGGCAAGAACCTCTGGCTCCACCTTGATTCCCCTCCTTTTCCGTCCTTTCAGTTTGGTACGGTTCTTAGCTCCTCACTACTAGAGCATTGATATCCTATTAATGATTTATTTTCTTCCGTTTGTTGGGATTAATGGCGCTTAGTGAGTCTCTGCGTTTCCCTCGTCTGTTCCATCTTTTTCCTTTCTAAAATAAAAAAGGAAATGTAAGTTCTCTGATTGTTTAAATGATTAGGAAGTGACTGAGTTTTGCTTGCCAAACATTTCCGCACCGGTTGGCATCTTATGTTTTTTTCTATTTGAGCGAGAAGTGTTAATTTGAAGCTTTTGAATCTTCCTGGAATGTTTAGTATTAACAATATATTTTTTTAAAAATAAAAGTATAAGATGTCTATTGATGTGTGAGCACCGAGGGATACCACCTATTTACAAAAAATTTACAAGTCAATAAGCATATTTACAATGGAAGCAAAATCTTTTAAGTTATCAAATTTATGTCTAATACAATAGAATCAAAATAGTAAAATAATCTATCCTTGATCTTGATAAAATTATCTTCCTTTCCTTCAAAAGACCTATTGTTTCTTTTTTTCCAAGTGACCCAGAAGATGGTAAATGGGATAAGGCTAAAACACCTGTTCTTCTTACACAACCCCTCCCAAGCCAATAACTCGCTCTTACCAGATCCGGCCATAGACCAGCAGATACCCAAAAGCCTGTAGACCAGTATCCAAAGATTGTAAGTGACAGGGCATCACACCAAAATAAGATTGCAGGATTCTGCGTTACTTTTGCAAAGAAAACATCTTTTTGTCATAATTTTTCCTATATTCATGAGATTGTCAATAGTTAGTATATGTTCTTCACTACTTCCCAAGTGAAAAGAGAAATTCTAAAAGGAGCATTAGCCTTCCATACCATTTTGGTAGGGAAATCCGTTCTCTCCGATCCTCTATGACCATTTAAGTAACCGTAGAAAGATTTAACAGAGAAGGTGTTATTTTCTTCAATGACTGAATAACGTATGTTGTTTAGTATTAACAACATATAATGTAAATAATAAATTACGCTTACAGTATAGTCAATTATCCACCTCTATGTGTGTTGATGGGATTTCACGCGGTCTCGGGTTTAAGTATTTTGCAAAATCAAAATTTGTGTGGCTGGGAGATAGGGTAGACAGAGACATTTGGCTAAAATCATGGGATGGTGGGGTCAGTTGAGCTGCCTATTAATATTTGGGGTTGCCGTTGGGTGCAAACTACAGTGTAAACGGTGTGAATAGATTTGAGCAAATACTTA